AAATGGTTGGCTTGAAAAGGAGGCACATGAGTAAAGATAAATGCAGATTAGACCAAATAATATAAAAGAAAAGCAGTGCAGTTAAAAAAAAAAAAGAAAGAAAATGTAATCCTTAATCACTACAGCATATGATTGTAGACAGAAACAAAACCTGTCTGGATAAAGAGGATTAAAAACACCTACTCTTCCCAAATCACTGGCCACAGAACCACAGCTTTAAGGTTCTAATGTCTCAAGCAAAAAGATAACTCAATCATGGATCCCACAGGTGGCACAGGCTCAACTATTTGAACTGAGTCATCAACCCCTTGCTGTAAGACAAAGGAGACAATCAGATCGCCATATAAGTTGCGACCAAAACTATTTCATTTACTTACATTAATATTAAGCATAATAGACGTAAGGTGTTTTCTTTTTCAACAGGGAAAGTTAAAAGCAATGCACAAACAGAAATAAATCTCCAATGCACTGGTTCACTCCACCAAATATACACAGGGGCCAGACCAAAATCACAGTCACTTGAGTGGCATGGGGCACGGGTCCAACAACCCAAATGATCACCTGTTACCTCTCAGGGTGCATACTGGTAAGAAGCTGAAACTGACATTAAACTGGAAACTGAACCAGCCACTCATACAGGATGCAAGCATCCCAGCTAGTGGCTTACCTGCGAAACCGAGCACCTGCCTCAAGCATAATAAACATTACACGAGAACTACAACATTAATAGAAATAAATAAAGCTATTGGGGCCCCTGCCATGGCTCAACAGGCTAATTCCCCACCATCCAGTGCTCCTTTAACTACTGGTTCTGTCCTGGCTGCTCCACTTCCAATCCTGCTTGCTCATGGCCTGGGAATCAGCCGAGAATGGCTCAAGTCCTCAGATCCCTGCATTCACACGAGAGACCTGGAAGAAGTTCCTGGCTCCCAGTTTCAAAGCAGCACAGCTCTGGCCACGGTCTCCATTTGCGGAATGGGCTAGCAGATGGAAGAACTCTGTAAAATCTGCCTTTTAAATAAAAATAAACCTTTCAAAGAATTTTAAGAGAAGTAAATATTACTAGATTAACCATGAGAAACTGATAAATCCATTCAGTCCCTAATGCTTCTTTCAGAAACTGATACATCAAAGGAAATGAAAACAGGAAAAAATACAGATGGCATGATCATCGCAAATGCTCAGGCTGATGCAATGGACACCTAGACCCTACACATTCATGTAATCACATTCATGGGTTAGAATTAATATCATCAAAATGCCCACCCCCGCCAAATTGGTTTGCAGATTCAATGCAATCCCAATCAAAATATTACTTGTATTCTTCTCAGGTCTAGGAAAAACAACCCTAAATGTTATACGGAATCAAAACAGAGACCAAGTAGTTAAGGAAATCTTAAAACAACGAAAACAAAAGCTGGAGGCATCACAATAGCAGATTTCAAAACATACTATAAGGTAGTTAAAATCAAAACACAATGGTTGTCACACATAAACAGACTTGGGGACCAATGGAACAAATCAGACACCCCAGTAATTTATCCACATATTTATAAACAACCCATGTTTGATGAAAGGTCTAAAACTATTCCCTGAAGCAAAGCAGTCTTCAACAAATGGCCAGAATGGATGTCCACAATCACAAGGATGAAACAAGACCATACCTTACACACTATACAAAAATTAGTTCGTGGTAAATCAGACTCTAACCCTAAAACTTAAAAAACATGGAATTGCTAGGGGTAAACACGGCAAGATATTCATCCAGGCAGATACTCCTTAGACAAGACCCCAGAGGTGTAGGGATAAAAGTAAAATTTTACAAGTTGAGAAGTTTCGGCACAGCAAAGAAACACTGTTAACATAATTTGGATGTTAACAAAATGAAGAGGCAAACGACAGATGGGACAACATATCTGCAAACTATATATCTGGCAAAGTGTGTAATATCCAGAACGTATAAGGAGTTTGAGAAATTCAACAACAAAACAAGCAACCCAATTATGAAAGAGCCTAAGAAATGAACAGGCATTTTTCTGATGGTCAATTTCATCATGGAAAGAGGCTTAGAATTACTCGCCATCAGGAAAATGCAAATAAAACCCACAATGAGGTTTTACCTCACCACCCTTAGAATGGGCGTCTCCCAAAACAAAACAGTAATGAATACTGCTGACGATGTGGACAAAATGATTCACTGGGGGTGGCAATGCAAACTAGTATAACCTTTATGGAAGACACTGTGGAGATTTTTCAGAAATCTGGAAATAGCTCCTCCATACAACCCAGCCATTCCACTTACTGGGAATTAAGTCAAAGAAATGAAATTTCCATAATAAATAGTTATCTGTATTGTCCGTTTCCAGAAGCTCCATTCATAATAGCCGGTCACATGGAACCAACCCTGATGCCCACCACCACTACATCTCCAAAGAAAATGTGATGAAAGAAAAGAGGAGAGAACGCTCACGCATAAAAATGAAAGAAATCATGTCTCCTGCAACAAAGTGCATGCAAGAGGGGATTACACTCATGAGATAAGACACTATCAAAAAAGGTAAGTACCTTCCCATTGACTTGATGCATATTAACATTGAAGCACATCTGAGATCTGGTCATTTATAGCCCCTTTCTATGTAGTCTTTCCACTTACTACTTGTTGAATTCTTAATTTATTGGAGCTTTAGGCTTGCAATAACAGTAAACTGGAAGAATACAAACAAAAACTGAAAAGAAAAACAAGAAATGAGGAGGAAGGGCTGGAGCAAAAAACAGAGAGAGAGAGGAACCGTGGCAAGCATATTTTTGCTCACAAAAAAAATGTATATATGAAAGATGTGAAATCAATTCCTTCCACATGCATAAATGAATTTAATTTATAACTGCAAAACCTCATAGAGAGAGGCTATATGTGTAGGAAAAATAGTTTTGTTTTATGAAAAGTTGCTCATAATTTAGAACATATTCTCTGAGTTATGTAATTCCGATTTTACAGAGGCTCTGTGCCTCTCACTGCTTTTACATTATTTTAAAATTCAGGAAGCCATAGATAATGGAGAAGAATGAAATAATTTTTGCCTGGAGGCATATAAACTGTGCCTTGTGGAAACTCAATCAACTTTTTTCCCACTGGGGAAGAAGCTAGGTTGATCTAGAAATTTCCATATTTGTTTCAATATAACAAATCAAATAGATATGCCTGTTGTTTGGATGGCTGAACCGAGGGAGTAACTGATTATTAATAACACTATCTTGCAAGTCATAACAGAACCAAAAGTTTATTTCTCTGAAAGGAAACAGACTAACTGCCAAGAAAGCAAGACTAAGAAAGAAAGAATGCGGATGGAGCCAGTGCTGAGCCATGGCAAGCAAAGCCGTCACCTGTGACACCAGAAACCCATATGGACACAGGTTCGCTTCCCGGCTGTCCCACTTCCAATTCAGCTCCTTGCTAAGGGTCTAGGAAAAGCAGACGATAATGACCCAAATTTGGGGGCTTTCCAAAATTCTTCTTGGAAGAAATTTCTGGCTCCTGAGTGCAGCTTGGTCCCGCCTTGATATAAAAGATCTCTCTCTCTCTCTCTCTTTCTCTCTTTTACTCTCTGGCCTCTAAATAAAGGGGACCCTACTGATGCACACAATTCAATGAGTGCTACTAGATTCCATGGGAAACAATCACCCAAAGCAATATTGCAAAAAAATGAGTTTTAGCCTTTGTTGGATATAAGATGTGAAGGTGATCTAGAACATTTACTTCTCCGATTTCTCTTCATTGTTTCCTTATCACAGAATAAAATGTGGAATGACACAACCTCCTAATGATAAGATAGCCCCTAGTTCTCAAAATCTAGAGTTACAGATGTAAGAGGGGAAAAAAAAAAAAAAAACAGCCATGAATTGCCTAGTCACATAAAAGGGACTTGAAAAAAAAAGTTACTATGTAAATACTAAAGATAAAAAGTGTGATGACAGTAAGTACAAAGTTTATTCCATGTGCATTGAAATATTTATCTGGAATATACCATAAAATGAAAATTCTCTTTTAACTTTTATATCAAAGCGAAAATGAAGAACCCTGCAAAGAAGTTCAAGTAAAATATTTTTATGATATACAAATGCCACTGAAGTGAAAAATCTTCAGGAAGACCACCCAACCTTGACAAGTGTATTCGTATGGGATTTAAAGAGCAATATTTGTATGACAAACAGTAGGTGGTCTTTCACACGGGTGAAATATTCCAGCTGACTTTAGTTCACGAGTGTTTCTAGAATTATGGGGATTCCTACCTGGCAAAACATAGCATTACCCTAAACTCTAAGTTTTATTTTTTGAACTCTATTTCTTCTTTGCGATGTATATTCAAACTTCACACACATGTGTCTGGCATACGTGTGTCTGTGTGTGTTTGAGAGAGAAAGAGAGAATACGGGGTTCAAGGTAATATGAACTCGTAGATACAGGATTTTCTTTTAACAGCTTATCCTTCATCTTGTTTATTTGGCTGTCAGAAAGCTCAAATATAAGACTTTTAACACTAAGGGAAACAAGTTTTCTGGCAAAATTCCACTCATTTATGTAGCTTCTTATTCTCTATGGTTTAAATGGTTTTACTCTATATGTAACAATACATTCTAAAAATGTAGAAGGATGAAATTAAAACACGTTTACTTTGGTGTAAAGAAAGTTGAAATCAACACATAGTCTTATTACACATTTTGCATAACTTTTGATCAACTTTCACATATTACTTATCATGCTTTCTTAAATCATTCTAGAAGTAGATAGAAAGCCATGGAAGTATATGTACATATTCGGGTCTTCATATTTCACACACAGAGTTTAAAAAAATTCAGATTTCACACACAGAGTTAAAAAAAAACATACATGACGTGAGGTCTGATGTTTCTTAGGTCATGAGAAATCAAGCCGCCTTTGAAATCCACAGCCACGAGGCTATTTGTAAGACCGCAACCACGGATAGTAGAGTCTGTCAACTTACTTGCATATGTCATCTTCTGGGTCTTCAAGCCCAAATCTTTCATCAAATGTAAGCTGTATGCACATGTTTTCTTCTACAGCTACTAATCTCCATACCAAGACCGTGTTTCTCGGGTAAGCGTTGGGAAAGCGTGGGCTGTGGATACTTCCATTGGTAGAGACACTAATAGTTCTCTCATGCTGGGGATCATGTACTCCTAAAAAATAAACAAATAAATGAAAAGACTCAGACACGCATTTACAACAAATATTTCCAGAAACGGATGCTGTGACAATAAACTTTATCTTATTTTGTTTTTAGTTGTGTTTACGTCGTTGACAGGGATGCACACACTTAGAGGTCTCTGATTTGGGGAGTGAGGGTCAAGGCGAACTGGAAGGTGGATGGGACAAATGTTCCCATTTTTTTTTCCTCTCTCTCATGTCCGCAGGGAGGGGAGTGGAGGGGGTCACTCCTTGCTATCAAGTGACATCAGCACCTAGGGGTTGGGGACAGTCATATGATGACACTTCAGAGATCCTGATGGAGGAAAGAGTATTCCAAGGACGTTACTTGAGTGTTTTTCTTTATGTAAAACAGTCAGAGAAAGATAATCTTCCATTTACCAGTTCACTACCCAGATGGCTACAACAGACAGTACTGGGCCAGCCCAAAGCTAGGAGCTTCAGTTGGGTATCTCATTTGGGTGGCAGGGCCCCAACACTCAAGCCATTTTCCCACCGCTTTTTCCAGGACCTAGCAAGGTGCTGAATCAGAAATAGAATAGCCAGGACTCCAACTGGAGCCTACATAAGACACAGCTGTAGCAGCTGCTGGGTTGACTAGCCAAACCACATCATCAGCCTCCAAAATATCTTTTTTTAATTAGCTCGCCGTTTGACTCCTGCAAAGTATTGATTAGGCATTACAGACTATAAACGAAGTGTCATCCTTTGCACTATTTATCCAGAAATAAAGACTATTTCAACGTTTTTAAATAAAAATTATTTACATTTGAAAGGACAAGTGGATTAGCATTAAAAATCAACTATCAACTGTTTTGGATGCCTAAAAATCACAAACACTAAGTTAAGATTATAATTCCTAAGAATTTGTGAAATACGAGTTATATGATAAACATCATAATTTATTTCCAAAAGTACCAAAAAAAGAAACTGAAGTGTCCTAATTTTAAAGCTACAGAGCTCTAGCCAATTAGTTACACGAAGAGTTGCATTCATCTTATATTTGGCATGAAGACAATGAAGAAAAGAAATGTGAGACCTTGGGCTGGTACGGTAGCACACCAGGTTAAGAAGCTGCGGACAGCCGCTGTATCTGAGCAACGCACTGGTTGGAGTCCCAGCTGCTCCATCTCCAATCCAGGACCCACTGGTGCTTTTGGGGAGGAGGCAGCTGATGGTCCAAGCACTGGGGCCCCTGCTATCCACATGGGAAACTCAAATGTAATTCCTCAAACAGGGTCAAACGTCTCCGTTGCAGCCACTTGGGCAGTAAACCACTGGAAGGAAGATGTCACACCCCGTCTTTGTCACTCTGGTTGTTAAACAAATTAATGAATGAATCTTTACCTCCCCCCAAAAAATAAATAGATAAATTGAAAAGTTAGCAATGGAAGCACACAGGAGGAAATGATGAGTTCTTCTCATTGATCATGAAGTGTCAATACACCACATCGCACAGCATGTACTGCGTTCTACCTACTCTGTTCTTAATGCTTCAGAAATCGGAATGACAAAATAAGCTTACTGGTGCTCTAATATTTGGATTCACAACTTCTAAGACGCTCACAGTTTCCCATACACTGGAATTCTAGAAACATCAAATCCCAAATGATCTTGAGATTCAGAACGAAGTCAACGTATTAGTCTTAATGTATTATCACAAAGAAACAATTTACACCGCACAGAGGGATGAAGATAAGGAAGTGATGAAGGAGCCCTCGATGTTTTCCCAGGTGAAGGGAAGTGAGTGCAGCTTCCAACACACAGGCCACTGTGAACACGACATCCACTAAGCTATGTCCTCAGAACCCTGGGGAGAGACACGCAGGCACAGCACAACTGGAACTGCTAAGGGGAGAGAAAGTTTTCTTACACCCATCTATTAGTTACTAATAAAAACGAACTCAGGTATTTGTGAAGTATTTATAAACTAAAAAATTAAGAACGAATATTTGCATGGTCTTTAGAGGGAAAAATAAATCTCTTTAAACACAAAATTTCAATAACAAAAAACTAAACGCTCTCCTCTTCAACTCCTAATATAATTTTTTGAAAGATTTATTTATTTTTATTGCAAAGTCGGATATATATAAAGGAGGAGAGACAGAGAGAGGAAGATTGTCTGTCCGATGATTCACTTCCCAAGCAGCCACAGTAGCCAAGGCTGTGCCGATTCAAAGCCAGGAGCCTGGAGCTTCTTCTGGGTCTCCCACACAGGTGCAGGGTCCCAAGGCTCTGGGCCATCCTCAACTGCTTTCCCAGGCCACAGGCAGGGAGCTGGATGGGAAGTGGAGCCAGCGGGATTAGAACCGGCATCCATACGGGATCTCGGTGTGTGTAAGGCAAGGACGTTAGCCGCTAGGCTATTGCAGTGGGCCCTCATATAGTTTTGTAAAAATTTTCAAAAGCCCTAAACTAATATCTTAGCACATAAAGTCATGTGCTCGAATACAGCTGGATAACTGTTTATACTTTTATATTTGGAAGGCCACCATGGGTAGGAAAATTCAACTACCAACTTAGTAGCTTGGAAAAATCTTTTTTTGCATATAGATATATCTAGACAATCGTTTAACCCTGACAGTTTCTCATTAGTGTTTGTGATTTGTAAAAAAAGCTGTTCAACACTGAACTCTGCAGTGAGATTAGACAGATCACATTGTTGCTTTAGAAGACCATTCATTCGCCTACTTCTCCAACATCCAATCTCATAAGGATATGAGTAAGATGAGTCTCACTTTATTTAATTCCTTTGGATATGCGCTAGCAGACTGTAATGCAGTGTGTTAAGGACAAGAAAACCATAATTTAGACTAAATTCTGCAGCTTTCTCTTCACTTCCTGACTCTATTAGAATTTTCTCTTTCTTCTGTGAACTTTCATTTCCCATAAGCATTTAAGCAAGCAATTCCCTCCTTTTTTCTCTACTCTGTATCTTAGGCTCCCTTTTCTTGTAGGTTTTATACCGGTGTGCTTTTATCTCGATAGTAGGCAGACTCTAAGAGACTCTCCAGTGTCCTTCCTTCTAGACTAATTCCCTCCTTTGAGTATGAGCAAGCTGATGGGCTATGACTCTACCACCATGACAAGTTTAGTTTGAATGAAGCAAAAGTCAGGTGGCTCTGGTGGGTCTGACCTCATCAAGTGAGCTCCTACCAGAAGTTGGGTCTTTCTTAAACTTTGAGAAACAAAATGGAGAAAAAGATTCAGCAGAAGGGGGATTCCCTGGTACTGACTGCGTAATCGTAGGGTACCATGTGTCTGACAAAAGCAGCTGGACGAAGGATGCTTTAGAAGCTAAGAACCCTCCATGGAAATGAGACCCCAGGCTTGGAAGATGGTCTCCCAAGCCCGAGGAGAGGAATCCTGCTGGGCTGAAGTCTTCATCTTAATCTCCTAGGACTCTCTTTACAAATCCAAGCATGGTCATGTTTATCCTTCCATACATAATCTAGAAACCCACATTACTGTGGAAAGATTTGAACTTTATTTTTATACCCTCAGTCGCAAAAGATCGTAGCTAAAATGAGTCTACTGAAACCTGTGCTTAAAAAGAACCTTTTTCGTGTAGAATCCATAATGTCATTAGGCTATAATTAAACATAATTTAAAGATTTAAGAAATCTAGGCCCTGTTGTCATAGAATTGTAAATTTCCTTTTTAAGATAAATTGCTGCTCCCTCCTCAAATTCATTTCAAATGCAATGAGGTTTGCCACCACACACATGATTTACAAATGCCTGTAAACATTTTATGTAAATCTCAAGCCACTAGGCCTATAATTGAGGAAAAAGTAAGAAGCAAACATTAAGTTCTACCAAATTAAGATTCTGCACCGAACAGTCCATTGCTTTCAGTCATCTTTCAAAGTACATAATTTTACTAGTATTTTAGGGACTAGCCACATATTTAATGTCTTGTGACTATTTTATTCAATGTTTGCTATTCCAATGTTACAGCAAAAGTACTCAAATTACCACTGAACTAAACAAATTATTAAATTATTTACACACGATCTTAGCAGTGCACGCCAACAGAATAAATCTTGTGTATCTGAGAGAACGGGTGCAACATGAAAAGTGAGATTTTACATAAGTGCTAAAAGTTAAAAATTGCAATTAGACACAATTTCATACCCTGCAAGACTCCTCTGATGATGTAAGTTTTGAAAACATAAACAGAGAAAACTTAGAAAAAGAAGAGGAAAGCCTTTATTGCTTAGTATTTAAACTTCCATTATTACAAAAATATGACAATACACTATATAGAAAACCCTGATGCTGGGAGTTTGCATACTGCATTGTATCCTCACATCTGGACATAACAGTCTCCATGGCGGAATAGAGCAAGGACAGGTTTAAACACACGGAGAAATATTAGCCAGTGGGGAGTAAAGAGGGCACTATGCTTCTTTCTAAGAGAAAAACTTTTAGAAACTTTTATTGAAGGCTAAAATCATTTCCCAGCTCTTAGCGCTGCCTCATACCTTGTAATAACAATATAAGGAAACTTGGTATCTTGAAGCATTGTTAAAAATCACTGCTAGATTTCTTCAACATGTCTCTATTTTGAGTTTCCACATACAAAATAAAAGCATGATTATGGAAGACAAGATGGCAATAATTTTTCTAACCTGTAATGACACAAGACAAACATTCAGCTGTACAAATGTAAAATCAATTCAAAGCCCTTAGCTCATTCCATCTGTTATTAAATATTCACCCTTGGGCCCGGCACGGTAGCCTAGTGGCTAAAGTCCTCATCTTGCATGTCAGGATCCCATATGGGCACTGGTTCTAATCCTGGCAGCCCTGCTTCCCATCCAACTCCCTGCCTGTGGTCTGGGAAAGCAGTTCAGGACAGCCCAAAGCCTTGGGACCCTGTACCAGTATGGGAGACCCCAAAGAGGCTCCAGGGTCATGGCTTTGGATCAGCGCAGCTCTGGTCATCGCGGCCACTTAGGGAGTGAATC